TTTTACCCCTCATGAGTAGGAATTAACAAAATCTTCATAATTTTGACATTTTTAACTATATTGTCTTTGAAATATGTGTCCTGCTGAATGTTCTGACAAGTATTTATGGTTTCATTTATTTATGATAGTTTCATTACTGTTGTCATTTAAGTTGGAACTTGTATGCCATGTATTTAAATACATTTGTAATTCCATTTTTTTAATGAAGAAGTAATTTGGTATATTTGAAAATATATTAACTTGTGAATATTAACTATAAATATAAACTTTCCATGCACTTAGGTATGTTAGTCAAACATCAACATACATTAAGTGTACTACTTTAAAGCATGACAAATAATAATTTAACATGTACTTTAAAGTAAAACTTTTGATTTGACATTATCACAAAGTGCAGTTTTTTGTGTACTTAAGTGTAAGAAACAGGAAAGTGTTTAAGTACACTTAAGTGGACTTTTATTTTATTAATATTATATTATCTGAAAGTGTAGTTTAAAAAAATCTTCTTTTAAGATTTGAAGTACACTACAAGTGCACATTCAATAGTTAAGTTCACTTAGATTTTTTTGAAGTTGTAAATAAAACAAAGATTATGTATGTGGGTGGCCATATGTTAATGTGGTTATTGCTATGACGTAATAACCATTATGATTTAACACATTTTTGCAGCTTAGATTTCATAAATGGTCTGAATGACGTGCTTTGTGACTGTTTAGTTATTTCAAAAGAGCAAGAAAAATCCTGTTTTCCTTGATATGTGCCATCTAATATTTTGCACAACCGCTTATAAGTGGCAGCGTTCCGTGACCTCTGACATGATACGGGCCGTGCAGCTTTAAATGAGCTTCAGTCAGAGCGACGGAGCGGACTGTGACACCGCTGATAACCTCCATCACATCCTCTTCTCCCCACTGGGTCAGAAAGGCCACGACTAGCCCACCTCTGCCCCACCAAACGCTCGCTCATAAAGGTCAAGGCTGCGACCCTCCTTTGCAGGGCTTAATCTCTACAGGTTAACACGTTACTCTGGGAACCTAATTTGGATAATATTGTAATGAATGCTGATAAAATACATAAGATTAAAAGAATTGTGCTTTGAAGTCGAGCTCCCCTCCCTGTTGGAGAAAAGTACATATTGACTTTAGAGGTTTGAGGCTTTTTGATGTTCTCTTTGACTTGCGAGACCTGCACTCTAGTAATTAGAATGACTGGGCCTGCACCAGTGGAAGCTGCATGTGCTTATGGGTAAAAGTGTTTCGGGGAATTAAATTCACCAGGCGTTCGAGTCATATCTGTTTCCGTTACAGTCATGCGTTGTGCTGAGAAAGCATGCAGACTTATCTATAGCATGCAAAGATTGTATTTGCATTTGTGTCTTTAGCCTGCAGTTGAAGATTTTTAATCACAGGCCGCATTAGAGATGTATAACGGTGCATGCTTACACAGCTAACGGAATGTTCTCAGAAAGTTCTGGCAAGGTTCTCTCAAAATTATGAACAGTTATTCTTCCAGTAATGTTAATAGAATTTATTTAAGCTTGCCTGATTTTTAATAACACTGTCAAAAAACGTTAGCATAAAAACTTTATTTTTTTTTCTTAAACATTTTAATTGTTTTTGCATCCAAGGTTTTTTTTTTTTTTTTTTTTAAATGTTGCTACCTACTGCTTTCAGATGGTGGAGAAAACATTCAAAAGTAACATTTCCATAATGTTTGCAGAATTATGAAATTTAACGTTCTCTTGTGAAAAAGTGAAAAAAAAATTTTTTTTAAACCTTTAAACTTCTGGTCAATTTAAATGTTCAGAGAACAGTCAGAACAAGGTTTTCATGATTTATTGAGCATGTTAGCAAAACGTTCTTGGAACACATTTAAAAAATATATTATGCATTGTTGCGAAATAACTTAATATGCATTTCATTCCGAAATAACTTAATAGGATTGTTGGCAGAACATTCTTAGAACACATTCTTATAAAAAACTATTTCTGCATCGTTCTTGGAACTTTTTCGGAAACATTTTAATTGTTAGTTATTTTAGTTTGTCTAACATTTAACATAAGAGTCGCTGCTTACTAGTTTCAGATGGTTCAGAAAACATTCTAAAGTGACATTCCCATAATGTTAGCAGAAGTTTAAAATGGAATTTTCCCTTAATGTTTTCTCTAACGTTCACATAACCAAGAAAAAAAAAACACTTAAAAACTGGACATTTTAAATGTTCAGAGAACATAATGTTTTCATAACTTAATTGGTTCATTAGCAAAACTTTCTTAAAATATTTTTTATTAGCTGGGCATGTCGCATGTCACATGCCTGAAACTGACATCATTGTGAAGCATTGTGGATTTTGGCTATTGTGCTCCAGTTGATTTTAGTGAAAAAGAAACTCCCATCCAGTGCATCTTGATAAGATACGGCTCTGTTTCAAACAGGTGCCAAATTGAATGTGTTTTGCAGACAATGCATCCAGTTGGATGAAAGCTTTCAAGCTTTATCGCAGTTTATGATACACCCCAAAGATAAGGCACGGACAGCATTCGTGTATTTTTGAAGAAAACTGTTGAAATCCCAAGCCTATCAATGACACGCCTCAATTCAACAAACCCTACGGTATAGAAAAAGTTCTAGAGTCATTCATCTCCAGCACTTATGATAACTCCACGTCTTGCATTCATTTGAAGGAATAGTTCAACAATGAAATATAAATATTGTCATTATTTACTCACCATCATGTCATTCCAAACCTGTATGACTTTCTTTATTCTGTGGAACACAAAAGGACACACTTTGATGAATGTCTGAGCTGCTGTTTTAAATATGACAAACATATGTGATTTTTACTGTTACGCTGTGCTAATGGGATAAAAAGCACTAAAAAGTACATTTAAAGGCCAGTTCACACCAAAGAGCATAATTATATTGATAACTAACTATAAAATGTTAATAATCATTCTATAACACTACACAATGGCATTTGTCATTCATTGCGCAACATTCCTTTATATTAGTATTTTTCTCCTCGCCCAGCTGTTGATAGGATGAGCCCATCAATACATCTGTTTCAACGGCAGGTCATTAGCAGGGGCTTTATTGTGCCGCAGGTTTAGGCACTGCGAGGTAGGGGACAGTGTTTACCCGGCCTTCCCCGCACCCACCGGCCCAGGGATCCCTCAGTCTCACGACACACCGCTGCTGAGTAGGTGCGGAGTTAAGAGACAATAGAGTCAATTGGAAGCCCCTCAGACTGAGTCTCTCCTTGTGTGCACACAAACCAATAAATGAAGTTCAGGTGGGGTTCAGATAGTTATCGGTCTGACATCGGTGATGAATAAAAGCTGAGTTCTGCCCAATCTGAAGTCGAGAAAACAATGAAATGAGCCCATAAATATAAAATGATGTTATTTAATGTTTGATTGCTCTTCATTCGACCAGTATGCTTTACGTGACAGTAGGAGAAACCACTTACGTTAATGCTCGCAATAACGCTTGCACGGCAACACTGAAAATCTGGCGCATACCTGCATCATATTATGAATTCTGTTCTCTTCCGTGCCGATGAAAGCACGGTCCATGCAACATTTTTTGTTTATTTGGTTTGATTCATTACTGTTACAACAATTGATTTGCATCATATTTTTAGTATTTGTATTTTTGTATTTGTATAGATCAATATATCGGACAACTGATCGTCAAATATTTGGCCGTTTTTTGACTCCGCATTGGTGAGAAATCATGTCCGCTTGGCTAATTAATTTTAATAGTACCCCATTGTCAGTTCCACAGTCTACCAGCAGTTAGAAAATGTGGTTAATGCATAAATATTATATATTATTTCTTAGAGTCTAGTTCACATGTCTCGTGCTCTATATTTGACGTTTTCTCATGTAATATGATTACTTTGTATGAAAAATAGACCACAATTTACCTAGTATTTGCAGAAAGTCTTTCCTTTCCAGTCTCAAATCTCATTTGCACTTCTACTGGAAGAAATCTTATGATTTCTGAAGATTTTGAATATTACACGCAAGCACTTTAAGTGCTTATTTGTCTTGTTTGAAAGTTGAATTTTTTTCCCCCCATACAATAACATGGAGATCTGTAAATGAAAGAATTTTTTTGTGGGGGTAAACTATTTCTTTAAAAGAAAACGGACATGTTGATCCTCTGTCTTTCTCTTTTAACCCCCCTCTTCTCTGTTTATCTCCCCAACTCTCCCTGCCATTGTCCTCCCTCGTCTCTCAGGAGTATATTGCAGGCCTTTACAGTAGCACATGTTGTCATGTTTGTTTAGACAGTCTCCATTGTGTCTGTCTGAGCTAGGAAACCATCAAGTAAATGTGAATTAAATATTATATATTAATCTTAACAGTTTTCATTTATGCATTATTAATTTTATTTTATTTTACTTTTTTTTTTTTTACTGTTCGGTCATGCGATTCTTTGTTTCTTGGAGGTTTAGTAAATATTAATTTATAAACTGTAAAAAATGTGGTTAATGCATAAATATTATATATTCATTTCAGAGTTTTTTGAGCATTTTTTTTAGCTAGGAAACCATAAAGTAAATATGAATTAAATATTATGTATTCATTTTAACAGTTTTTATTTGTTTAATTTCAACAGATTTATTAATGTTTTATTTCTTTTCGTTTTTTTCTTTTGCTATTAGTAAAACTCATTGACTGTGCACTAATTCTCCTTATGGAATTCTATGTATTTCTTTGACGTTTATTTAGGAGACAATAACGTAAATAAGTAATAATTATGTATTCATTTAAACTATTTTTATTTATGCATTATTTATTTTCCTTTTTTATTTTATCAGTATATTTTTAGGTTTTTTTTCACTGGTAAAACCCATATCGGCTGTGCTGTTCTCCTCATGTAACTCTTTGTGCTTCTTAAAGGTTTTGTTTTTTGTTTGAGCTGTCCATACATGAACAGTGTGTTGTAACAGAGCGCGATATGATCTGACATGCATTTCTCCAATCTCTACAGCTTGAGGAGGAGCTTCAAGAAGCTCAGAGAGAACGAGATAAAGCCCTGCTGCACAGTCACACAGTGGAAGAGGAGCTGCAAACCTTACGCAGGTATCACAGGTGATCCACCTCACCTTACACTGCACAGTAACTCCTTAAACCACTCACTTGATGCATTTTACAGTTTGTTTGAGTTGTGGTGGAGCATGAACCTGCTGTGACATGCCTTAAGTGTTCAATGAACTTACAAATAAACAAAGGTGCAGGGCAAGGTGTTCTGAAGGAGTGTAATAATTCAGGTGATGGATAATGTGTTGATGTTAGTGCAGGAATTAGGAGGAAGCCTTTGCATGCCATTCCAGAGGTGAGGAACCAAGAGGGCTTTGTATTGGAGGGTCCAGTCCATCATCTCTGGATTCTTGAGGTTTATGCATGTCACAAGAACCATAGTTGGTAATGCTTTTAGGGAACACATATGCATTATTAACAAAGAGTTTTCCCTCAATAAACTCCTAATTTGCTGCTTATTGATTGTTGTTTGAAGTTGTTAAGTTTAGGTATTGAATAGGGTTAAGGGATCTAGAATATGGCCATGCAGAATAGTCATTAATATGTGCTTTATAAGTACTAATAAACAGACAATATGCTAGTAATATGTATGCTAATAAGCAACTAGTTAATAGTGAATAGTGTTTTCTAATCTAAAGTGAGTCACGCTTTATTTTAAGGTCCAGTTCTTGCTATTAACAAACCAATAACTATGATGTTTGCCTCAATAAACTCCTCTAATTTGCTGCTTATTAATAGTTAGTAAGGTAGTTGTTAAGTTAATATATTGAGTAGGATTAGGGATGTAGAATATAGTCATGCAGAATATGTGCTTTAAAAGTACTAATAATCAGACAGGCATACTAATTAAGAGTGAGAATTGGTCCCTATACTAAAGTGTTACCCCATAGTTTTGTCTAGCCAGACTTTTGACTAGTTTACAAACTTTCATTGTTGCAGCCTGGGAGCTCATAAACCTAACTTTGTTTCCCGTCCAACCATTTTACAGACCAATTTCCATTTTTTGTGCAATATGCATCAAGTGATCTGAGGTTAAGACTAGTACCGTTGTTCACCTACACTCTTAAAAATTAAGGTTTTTTATTGGCCTCTATGATTCTATGAAGAACATTTACCAGTCATGGAATCTTTCAGTTGCACAGAAGTGGAAAAAGGTTTTTTAGATTATTAAAATGGCCTTCAGACTAAGATAAATGGTTATTTTAAGAACTGTTCACCAGAAGGTTCTTTTATGAAACCTGTTCTTATCTAAACCTTTATTTTTAAGAGTGTAGGTACGTTAGTACACAATATAAACCTTCTTTTTACTTGTTTAACTCCTTTTGGTTATGTATTTGACAGCCAGCAGTAGAATAGTTGTTAATGAGGTCGTTTCTGTATCACAAAACTTCCATAATTTAAAAAGACCCTCATTGCCTGTCACTCGTTTCACCTCATTTCATTACTGATCGAAGCAGAAAGTATGAATCATGCACTGAGTCATCATCATCCAGCTTTATAACAGATTATGAACATTGAAACTGGCTTTTATGTGTTTTGTTTGCTTTGCACAGAGAAAAATAAATCGCTCGACTTAAGTGCAGTGAGTCATTAGATTACCGCAAACTCATGATCTCAAGGATTGGAGCGTTCGTGAAGTTGTGATGTCGAGCCACGTCTCCTGCAGACGCTGTCAGAGGTCTGTTCACGCTGGGATTCTCAGCGCAAAAAAGCCTCCAGAGGCACCGACCACAAACGTTTCAGCACCACCTAACATCTGATTGTTTTGGCCTGCGAGTTGAACTCTGTGCTTATTTAAGGTTTTATTCAAAATGATAGTCAGGGTCTTAAATAACCAAACCAAAGCTTTCCCAGTGGTCGTGATGGACTACCGCAGACCCTTTCTCCCCGGTTCTTGTCTTCCAGCCAGAGGGCTTGTTTGCTTTACTTGGGGTTTATCTGTCAGTGAAGACGGCTTTGATAGACGATATGGAGTAAATACATTTGGCTCATAAACTGGTCGTGCTGGTTAAGTGAGCTGCGTCCGGTTTCACCGAGATGTACATCCGTGTGTATCAAGGACTTTCCATTTGCATTCGTCACATCTTATTAGATCTCTTCCGCATCTCGTTGTGCATGATTGCGTGTTTGTGTTTCACTCCAAAAGGGTTTTACCACCCAGTCATGCCATAGGAGAACTTTTGCTAACACGCTGCAATAAGGTTTTTTTGAATAGTATTTATTCATCTACATTAATGCATACAAATTTTTACATATACATTTTTAACATTTTAAGTTGGATAAATTAACATTAGTCAATGTTTTATGGACAAACATGAATAGTGTGCTGCAAAAGTTTGGGGTTATTAAGATTTTTTAAATGTTTATTTTCACCAAGACTGCATTTATTTGATTAAAAAAAATAGTAATATTGTGAAATATTTTTTCTATTTTAATGCATATTAAAATGCTATTTTTTCCTGTGATGGCAAAGCTGAATTTTCAGCATCATTACTCCAGTCTTCAGTGTCACATGATCCTTCAGAAATCATTCTAATATGCTGATTTGCTGCTCTAGCAACATTTCTGATTATTATCAATGTTGAAAACAATTGTGCTGCTTAATATTTGTGTGGAAACCTTGAAATTTTTATAAGAATTCCTTAATGAATAAAAAGAGCAGCATTTGTTTAAAATACAATAAATTATTTGAAATAGAATTTATTTATTATAATTAAATTTATTTATATTTATAATTTATTTGGATAATTTATTTTAAATAATAAGGGTTTTTGCCACTTTTGTGCGATTTAATGCATCCTTGCTCAATAAAAGTATTAATTTCTTTAAAACAAATCTTGTGTATATTTATAAATTTCAAATTAATATTAACCTAGATTTTTTAAGAAATGTGAACGTGTTCACTGCAAGTTCATGGTACCTAATCTGTAAATTTATATTAATAAATTGACCCATATTTTAAAGTGCTTCCAAAGGTTTATAAAGCACTATTCTTTAGTTCTTTAAAAATTATTCAGAAAACAACACGGTTATCTGAAGAATTGTTATTGTTTTTTTGGTGTGTGTATGATGTTGGTGCTCAGCTGAGGCATATACGAACTGATTGTTTTGAAAACTGTCCTTCTAAAGTAATTCAGTTCAGCGTCTGGTGCTGCACACCCAAACTCACTTAATCTGAGAAGAGAGCTCTCACTCTTGTAGTCTTTTCTGTCTGTCCCAGCAGGAGGAGGAGAACGAGCACATTGTTTTTCTTTAGACAATCTGCATTGTGTGAGCGTCAGGGTGTCCAACACTGGTCCCCAGCCCCTGCCAATGTGGCTACAGCGCTGAACCTTTAAAAGGAGAATCCTCCAGGCCCAACAAAGGCCAGAGTATGGCTGCGTGTGTTTGCTCTCAGGATTGCCCGACCACCTCCATTGTGTCTTTTAGGATAACAGACAGTCTGTGTCACATGAAAGGGCAGCGAACAGATGAGAGAGAGAGAATGGGGTGTTAGAAAAAAATGTCTGTGGCGTGAACCTCGGGCTTTGATAGAACTGGCTCCGAATAGTGTAGCGTACACACGCTCCCCGCTGATAAAGAGAAACACTTAGGCAATTTTGTTCACTTGGGGTGGGTTGTTTTAATGGGTTATCATTGGCCGGCCGGTGACTGTGAGTTTAAGGTGCTTTGTTTGAGTGTCAGCCAGGAGGGAGACAGCGCTGGATAGACGTGTATTAACACCACAGGTTCCCGTACGGTCCAACTCCCCAGTGATCGCTCATTATCACACATGCTAACAGCTCGACCTGTCAACACTTGCAGCTCGATAGTCGTTAGCAGATACAACGTACACATACATGAGCTCTCTTTTTCCAATACTCTTGCACTACACCGTAAGCCAAAGAGCCCAGTTTCGATATTCAGCTCAAATATGATTTTTTTTTTTTTTCGGGTTTTTCACATGACCTTTTAAATCTGACCCACTGGTCTGAATGGTCCTAAACTGACCTGTAAGCATAAACCAACCTGCCCTGATATGTTCATCAAGAAAATCATCAACACATTTCATAATATCATTGATATTATATTATATTTTGTTATTTTATGAAATTAGAAGAAATAAAATCCTTAAACATCTATGGAGTAGCATCAACATAACTCTTAATGTTAATGCTAACATGTATTACATTATATGATAAGATTAGCATAAAAAATATTTTTATAGTTTTTAATACAATATTTTATAATATATATTTATGATTTTCTATAATTGTATATGTATATATATATATATATATATATATAATAAATACAATAAATATTTTAAATATACATATATACAATAATTAACTTGTATATAAATAAATATAAAATTAACTATATTGTTTATATATATAACTATATTGTTTTTTATATA